TCACAACGCACTGGATAGCTGGCCAATCAGAGCACACCTCGCTTTTCAGACCGATGAGCTTTGTAAAAATCGACGCGTTTCAGAAAGGTGGGGCATAGAGGAGAAACAATAATGTACAGTATGTGGAAAATAATGTTTTTTTTAACCTTAAACGGCATAAACACGTTTCATTACACCAAATACACAAAATAAATGTCCTTTTTAGCAACATCATATGACCCCTTTACAGGGGCCATGAACTAAGAAATCAAAATTCCCTTGATCTTTTGATATATAAGGAGTCATTGTGCAAGTTTCAAAAAATCAAAACTTTCTTGATAGTCTAAAAACAGCTTATATAGAAGCCAATCTTCCAAAACGACAGATTTGGATTGTGCCAGTTTATGATGTAATTGTGCCGCTAAACACTGCCTCCACAGAGTAAGATCAACGCCTGCTTCTACATCATTGCCTGTTTAGCCCCGTCCACCGAATCGCGCACATAGTAGGTAAATGACAAGAGCGGCAAACGCAGGTCTACGCAGAAACCAAATGATAAACTTTATTTGATTAACTTAATTTTTAATGAAGTGCCATACCGAGTCATTAAGAACTTGGTCCTTTGTTCGCTTTATTTTACCGTGGATTCATTTACAAACAAGGCACAATTTGACGCATTTAAATTAAGAGACAATGTTGTGCCAAATATATTGGATCCGATGTCGCACCACAAAAGCGTGAATACCTGTTTTCATTATATGATAACTATTGTTTGGTCTTATGTATGTACTTAGTACTTATGCGTTTTTAACCTAAAACACAGCAGCGTCCATCTATAAAAGATGTTAGCCAATCATAGCAGTGGTCGTTTACTTCTGAGTCAACAATCCGCCACGCCTATTCAAACAGAGCGTTCTGAAGAGCGGGGTCAAAACAGGACAGAACATAGCCTATTACTTCTAAATTATGATTTTTTTATGTAAAAATCTTGATAACATTATAAGTGGACCTCAGAGAACAGTACAAAATAAAAAAAAGGCAGTTCATCTTATCTAGCAAGTAATTATAAAAAGTAATAGTTACTAATAGTTATTGACTTTACAAGTTCAAAAGTAAATATAATAATTTCCACCTGGACACTGGGTCTGATCCGTGTGCCGTCTCTGCTTTTCTCATCAAAGTCGTGAGTTCGGTCTCTAGCTGCCCACATCTGTTGCGAGTCTGTGCCAGTTCAAAATAACTCTGCTCCACCTCCTCCCAAGCAGACTGTGTGCAAACACACAAATACAATCTGAGCCAAGAGAGAAAGTGTGTAAAATGCAGTAAGATTATCATCTCAAATGATCACCTGTAACAGACTGTGGACAGGTGTTAACTCCTCTTTCTGCTCAGCCGACACATCTATTAGGTGATCGCTCTCATAACGAAACCTGCATTAAGTGCAAATGCCTGAGTAATAAGCAATAATTGATTCAATAACACCATTATTTATAGAGTGGGTTTTGATAACATACATTATAATGTAAAAACATACCCTAGATCCGAAACATCACGCTCCACATTCAAAGCTGCAATCTTCTCTTCTAACGCCACCTGCTGTCTGGAGGTCAAGGCTTGCAGAGCTGAAAGAACTTGGTTTGGAGGATGAGAGCGTAGAACGTTCTGAAAATTAAACATATTGAGGTTCTCATAAGCTGTTGTTGTGCAGAACTAAATGCATGCAGACACATAACAAACATGCATCCTCCTCAAATGAGTGTCTTCATCTACCTCCACTGCACTCGTCCAGTGCTGGATCACTGCTTTCCTTTGTTCATGAGTAAATCTGGATGAAAAACAAATGAATTAGCATCAACAAGGCAGAAGTGCTAAAGCTCTTCTATCTACAATATCAGCATCAAAGGCCTGTGCGTCTTACTCAGTGGACGGATTCACGTTTAGTTCACTCTGTAGCAGGCCCTGGAAGAAGAGAACCCTCTCGCTGCAGAGCTCTCTCACATCTTTCTGAAATGAGATAGAAATGGTGTTTCATGAGTTACAATCAGTGGAAAGACAAGTGCTTTAATCAAGTGGTCATTTGGGAGTTTGATTGGTTAAAATTATCCAATTAGGCCCAAAGTGAAAGATCAGTGAAAGTTTAGTTAAAGATTTTGTAACTACACCACCTAGCTTTCTCAAATGAAGGCCATTCAAAAGTAGAATTTTTGAATTTCAGAATTAAAACTGACATCAGCAATGATAAGAAGCCAAAAAGCAGCTATAATTATAATATTATAGTGTGCACTGAAATGAGATAGAAATGGCGTTTCATGAGTTACAATCAGTGGAAAGACAAGTGCTTTAATCAAGTGGTCAGTTGGAGTTTGATTGGTTCAAATTATCCAATTAGGCCCAAAGTGAAAGATCAGTGAAAGTTTAGTTAAAGATTTTGTAACTACACCACCTAGCTTTCTCAAATGAAGGCCATTCAAAAGTAGAATTTTTGAATTTCAGAATTAAAACTGACATCAGCAATGATAAGAAGCCAAAAAGCAGCTATAATTATAATATTATAGTGTGCATCACAAACACCATTAAATACAGCAATACTTACTAAAACCAATGGATCTGCTCCGGCTTCACTGTCTGAACTGTCAGATGGCCCAAACACCAGCTTCACCTCTGCTTTCCTGGACAATTAGAAAAATAATGTGATTTACAGGTTTGAGTCATATATGAATATTAATGCTTTTATTCAGCAAAGATGCACACAGCATCAGAATATGGCACACAGCAGCTTTAACACATTGTCTAATCAGTCTAAGCTGAAATAGAAGTCTGAAGGTGGCTCACTTGGACAGCTCTTCCAGGGCATGCCGCTGAGTGCCAATCACGTGTGTGTCCTCTAACAGTACGTTTCTCTCCTCAGAGCAGCGCTGCCTGAACGAATCTAACAGGATCGGTCTGTGCCTGCTTTCCATAAAGTCCTCCCAGTTCCCGTTCACGTTCCTTTCTGCTCAGCAACATAAGATATTAGTAACAACAACATAAAATACCATTCCATAATCTGATGTATTTTTAAAAAGCTTTAACACATTGTCTAATCAGTCTAAGCTGCAATAGAAATATGACAGTCTGAAGGTGGCTCACTTGGACAGCTCTTCCAGGGCATGCCGCTGAGTGCCAATCACGTGTGTGTCCTCTAACAGTACGTTTCTCTCCTCAGAGCAGCGCTGCCTGAACGAATCTAACAGGATCGGTCTGTGCCTGCTTTCCATAAAGTCCTCCCAGTTCCCGTTCACGTTCCTTTCTGCTCAGCAACATAAGATATTAGTAACAACAACATAAAATACCATTCCATAATCTGATGTATTTTTAAAAAAGATAATAAACAGTAAAGAAGGTAATCAGAGACTATTTTAATAGTTTGATGACTTAAAACCTTTTTCCCCCAACATAGTCTATAGTATAGGTAGTACAAAAGAGCATAAAGATGAACGGAAAGATAAAATAGGAACATTCACCTTCGGTAGCAAGTTGATCCTCCACTCTACTGATCTTTGTGTCCAGTTGATTGAGTTCAGTCTGAAGGGCATCAATCTCTCTCTGAAGCTCAAGCCTTCTCGCATCTTTATTCTGATTTTTCAACTGTTTAAGCTACAAAGAATAATCATCTTTAGCTGCACTTATCAACCCTTATAGAAGCAGCATAACAAATTGCAATCAAGTACTTTTCTTTACCTCTTTATCTTGTAAAACTTTGTACCTTAGGATTTAGATGGTCAAGGAACAATTCCACAGCTCACACAACCACAATTTAGCAAGTAATAAAGTAGCAGCTTGATTTTCAACATTTTGACATGACATACAGTAAAAATATATAAATTGTGGTGGGTCTCATGAAACAACCATATTTCATGTTTTATGTGTCATAAAATCAGTGTAATTTTAATATTATTAATATACGATTATATAATTTATTTTTGTTTATATATTATGTTTTTATTTCAAATTTAGTATTTGTTATAGAAAATATTTCCATTTATTTCTATTTCAGTCATTTTAGTACTTCGACTTAAGCTTTCTTTTTCTTCAAATCAAACATTTTTCAGCTTCAATCTAATTAACGAAAACAAATTTAATAGTTTTAGCTTAATCAGCGATAACAACCCTGCACAAAATATATACATACAGTATATGCATATTAACACATCACATTGTCAGAAAACTTAAAGGATACCACTGAATATTCCCCCTCATCACACGAACGTTCCTGTAAGATAAGTTATATGTCAAAGGAATATTGTATAATCAGAAAAAGTGCATTGAAGAAAACGTAGTAAGCATTCGAGATTGTAAAACCTTGAGAGCTCACCTTTCCTTATAAATATGTTGCGTGATATACTTCCAAATGGAAGCTCCAGGACCGACACACAACCTAGATAAAACGTAAACGATCAATCTAAAATCGTTGATGAGGATTAATGCTATAATTCATAACAACTCACTAACGTCTTTATATAGCCGTCATCCGGCAGTCTGGCTGCTGGCAACTCAAGTTCCTCAACAGCCCAGCGCTTCAGTTCCTGACTGAGACTTGCCATCTTTTTAAATCTTCTGATAATAATAAAACAAACCTGCAGTATAAACAAATCTCACTTCTTCTAATGCGAAAAATACAACAACAGTCAAAATACGCGGGAGACGTTTCTTCGCCCCCGTTTATTTTGCTACTTGTCTCTAACGGGGCCGATGCTGCCCCCACAGGTCAGTATACGAAAATCAGCACATTCACATCAGCACATATCTGTCCAGTACTCTTTTATGAATGTTCTTTTATTTTTCGTTTTCTTGAAAATAACGTTTTTTTCCTCTTGTCATCAATATTGCTTTTATAGGATTAAATTCACTGAATCATTAATCTTGACTGATACTCTTATTATCTTATTATAATATCAGAATCAGAATGAGCTTTATTGCCAGGTATGTTTACACATACGAATGTGTTTTCATGACAGAAGCTTCCACAGTGCAACAGAATGACAGTGACAAGACAACACACAGATAATAAAAGAATAAATATAGAATAAGTAAATAGGGAATAACAATATACAAATTGTTACTGGCAACAGTTCAAAGAGGGAGTGTGCTGGATGTGAGGGGTCCAGGGTGATTTTGCCAGGCTTTTTGCTCGCTCTGGATAAGTACAGTTCTTGGAGAGTAGGGAGGGTTGTACCAGTGATTTGCTCAGCAGTCTGAACTATCCTCTGTAGTGTTCTGAGGTCAGATTTGGTAGCTGAGCTGAACCAGACAGTTATTGAAGTGCAGAGGATGGATTCAATGATGGCGGAGTAGAACTGTTTCAGCAGCTCCTGTGACAGGTTGAACTTCCTCAGCTGGCGAAGGAAGTACAACCTCTGCTGGGCCTTTTTAACAATGGAGTCGATGTGAATGTCCTACTTCAGATCCTGTGAGATGGTGGTGCCCAGGAACCTGAATGACTCCACTGTCGTTACAGTGCTGTCCATGATGGTGATTGGGGGGAGAGCAGGGGGGTTTTCTCCTGAAGCCCTCCATCATCTCCACTGTTTTGAGCGTGTTGAGCTCAATATGTAACAAATATTAAATCTCTTTTGACTTTTTTTACTTACCGATTCATAGTAAGGTGTAGGCTACTTCAAAATGTCCCAACATTGATTTAGTCAAAGAAGCTATTGTTTCATTGGTATCTTTCTACAGAGATGATTTGTTATATTTCATTATTTAAATTCTTGATGAAACTATTTAGCTTGTAGGTCTATATGTTTTCAAATATCACTATTGCACATTCTCTTCACCTCCAATTCTTATCAGTAACGATTTGTAACAATATTTTTTTGTTGCATGTTATTTATTAATTTCCTAATTATATAGGTTCCTGTTGGAAGACGGCCAGCCATTTTTCCTCTAATCTTTTTTCATCATTATTTTGATTGTTATTCAACCTGCACAGTGATTTTTTTTTTCCCGTGACATAATTTTCTTGTCTCTATCAGAACTGACCCAATGGGCTTTATTGAATGTGCAGCATACATTTTTATACTGTTCAGCACTCAAGAAATTCAGAGTACCGACAAGCATGTGTTAGTAGTATTCATTGAGCAAATTTCAGCCTTTACAGCTCGTAACTCAGATACTCCGCCAAAAAACATCTGTTTGGTTTTGATTATTATCATTATGTTACTAAAAATGTCAGAAAATCACTCACTGCTCTGGACTGGAGGGGTCTCGGCTAATACGGCAGTGTCTGTCAAAAGTCGTGGGTGGGGCTTGTAAAATTTAACATCATATTTTACGGACTCTGTGATCGGCTTGCTCTGAGACGCTTGGCTGTGTTCAAAATGGCATACTTGCTTACTGCTCAGTACACAGTGCATACTGCCTACTATTTATTTTTTTTCAAGAATGGTGTGTGAAACAGTATACAATAAGCAACAAATA